CTGTGTCAACAGGTATCAAATACTTGTCCTTCTTACCCTGTTAGTATCTTATGTTAATCTCAGAACTTCATTTAGAAACCGCCTTCAGTCACAAAACAGGGAACAATCTAGATGCCACAGCTTCCTTCCAGACTGACTAACCTAAAACCTATTAGATGGCAGAAATTTAAAAAAAAAAAAAAAAAAAGTCAAAAAAAGGTATTCTCAGTTGCTGTATATAAGCTCTCTAGCAGGGGGGATGCTCCTTCATACAAGCTTTTGTCTGCACGCTCGCCCATGCATACAAGTTTTGAGGTGGTGTGCCTGTAATTTTTTCTGATTGCATAGCTACCACATCCATTTGAACAAACAAATTGCTCTTTGCTTGATCGCTTTGCTCCAATGTCCACAGCTGCACAGATCTCAATGTAGTTCATGCTTACTTGGCACAGGTAAATGGTGCAATCACATAATGTTCTTGGTAACTTTTTGCTAATAAAGGGGGATCAGAGAATACTCCAAGGGAAGCAACTGTTGAACTGCTTTTTGCTTTGATGTTTTATGACCAATTAATCTGCTCCCTGGATAGATAGCAAACCTACTGCTTTGTATACACTTATCTCTGGGAGAAGGGAATGAAAACTTGCTGAAAATTATGCTATTTTATTTCCAAGTTACATGCTGCACCAATTAAATGCTAAAACAGTAAGGCATACCCACTAATTTTGGAACAGTATAGGAATGTGGAGCCAGGTTCTGCCAGGATCACTGTGGACACAAAGCTCTGCCTGCATGGGTTCAAATTACTAGCTCCTATAAGCCATAAGGATGGGTCCATTACAGGTTATACAGTTAGCTCAGGTAATAAATAATATACACAGGAGGCAATATGAGGAGGAAGCAACATCCAGCTGGTTAAAATGGAGCTGGGTCTGTAGTCTATTTTTAAGGACACTTTCCAATAGAGAAAATCATTGCTGGGCATCAGCTGTGTTTCCTGAGGTACCTGGATGTGGTGTTAGTTGATAATGCAGAGCAGCAACAAATAATGCCAATATACCAGATTGTGTTTCACCTACTGTAGAGGAGTGGTGCTGTAAGGAAGTCTGTAAAAGTTAGCAGAGAGATTGGGTGCTTTTAATAATTCAGAAGTTATATAAGACTCCTCCCCAAATCCATGTAACATTCCTCTAAATCTACCCTGTATCATGCTCAACGATCCAGCCGGTCTTCCGAAGTGGTGGGACACATTCCGAATCATTGGCGGCAAGGCAAAGACTAAGGTAGCTCAAAACCATCAAGACTCACAAGCAGTATGTACCAGTTGAAAAACAATGTTTCTCAAAGCCTGGATTCTGCTGGTGAATGTTAATGGAGCAGTCTGATTTATGGCACTGTGTGATGTGCTGGCACACTACTACTGTGTGCACAGCTCTCTACTAAGCAGGTACTTGATTACAGGCCTGATTTTGTTCTTCACTTCTGCCAGGAAAGAATGCTTCTGAAAATAGCAAAGGTGCACTAAGTGAAACCGGGCTGTGTGAAAGGCGATTGAAACCTGCATGGAGGAAGGCTGAGCCCATTACCCTACTGGCACCACCAGAGCCTTAGACAAAAGACAGCTCTTTTGAGGCAGGCTGCCTGAAAAAGCTTGATTCTCATGCCAGCAGGTCAAGGCCAAAAATTTATGTACCTTCTCAGTCTGTTAAGGCAGACATTATAATATTCCCTTCCTATTGCTCTTTCCTGCTTGTCTGTTTCTATGACACGATTTTCAAGGAAGAAGCTCCTTCTGGCCTTGAGCACAACTGGGCCTTGTCTTTGCTTGGAATATATAGGCACTAGCCAGGCCTGAATAATAACATATAGACCATACAGAAGTCCACAGAACTCTATTCTGTAAGAAAACCCAATAAGTAAGTTCTCATGGGATACATTGTGCACCCACTTCAGTCCACATACTGGCATAGATACCTGAAAGCAAAACTGCGACCAAGGAAGGTGAAGAAAAGCCATGTAGTATGAGACATATTCTTGAACTAGTGTAAGGTCTTAATACAGTTCTGCTTATCCGCTCAATTACACTGAGCTACATCACCTATGAGTTTGATCCTATAACCAAGCAGTTTTCCAATAAATAATCTAGAGTTCCTTAGGAAAACTATTAATTGCTGTAGTCTGAAAGCCAGTATCTTTATTTTAGTCTGTTTCTCTCTCGAGACACTTAGATCCACAAGATTTTTCCTGTTATTTGACGTAAAAGTGATGAA